GCATAGCGCATAGCGCATAGCGCATAGCGCATAACGCATATCGCTTATCGAAAGGCGAAACTCGAAAATCGCATATCGCATTATGCAAATAGCGCATAGCGCATAGCGGATAGCGCATAGCGCATTGCGCATAGCGCATAGCGCATAGCGCATAGCGCATAGCGCATAGGGCATAGGGCATAGCGCATAGCGCAGAGCGCAGAGCGCATAACGCATATCGCTTATCGAGTTTTCGATAAGCTATGTACTATGCGCTATGTGCATAACTCGATATGCGATTTTCGATTTTCGTTTTTCAAGTTTAGAGTTTCGAATTTCAAGTTTTCGATAAGTGATAGGCGTTATGCGCTTTGCGCTATGTACTATGCTCTATGTGCATAACTAGATTTTTGATATGCGATGTGTGCTATGCGTTAATTATATGTTAAGAAAATTATGCAAACTACCGCTTATTCCTTTTATATAATAGAAACCCTAAAAAAAATTCCAGATTTTAAATGAAAAACAATAGTTTTATAAGGAATCTTTACTATTTCAAAAATGGCACATTATTTATAGCAGGCTCGGCTCAGGTGTCTTCTGGCTGTGTGGGAAAGGCGGGCGAGGGCGAGGGCGCGGGCGGCGGGGCGCGCAGCACGTCCTCGCGCTCGAGGCGCGGGTAGGAGGGGCGGCTGAGCACGCCGCACGTGTTGCCGCGCGCCTGCACGCGCACGTAGCCGCCCTCGCCCCACGCGCTCGACCACGAGTTCTTGAGGATGAAGTGCGGCTCGCCGCGCCGCTCGCCCCACCCCACCGCCAGCACCGCGTGGTTCAGCGGCCGGCGCGACTTGCCGCTGCGCACAACAATTTATATCATATAATACATTTCTATTCATGTTTAAGTTCCAAATGTTTTGGGTAGAAAGTTACAGCATTGTGTTAGTATTTACACAGGTATCATGACTTATCAAATAATGAAAAAATATGTATGTGGAGCAAAATAAGTAAATAACAATGCTTAGTTCCTTAGGCTAACCTTGTAGGGAATATTGTCATATAAATAATAAGTTTGTATAATAGATGAGGTTTTTAACAAAAGGTGTTCATACCAGCGTTCGTCGTACAGCACTCCCTTGGAGTAAGTGGTGAAGCTTTTGGCTGTCGCGTCGACGATCACAACGGTGGGCGCGTGTCGCCGGATAGCCAGCTGTCGGTTAAACATCGCCACTTGTCAACGTATGTACATACCTCTGTTGAGAGCAGATCATATAACTTTCGATGTTAGTATTGAACCCCCCGAGGTCTCTAGTTCCGTCGCTACAGTCCAAAGTGTTTAGAGTATCGAAAGGATCGCATAGCTAACATAGTTTTATTATAAAGCTACGTAGATTCATGGACGAGTCCGTCTAGAAGTTAAATATGAGACAATCCATAGATAGATGTATAACAATGAGAAGAAAATATATAAACGATATGTTTAAATATGAACCTTGAGAGCGGGAACACTGTTGACGGTGACATTAACGTGGCCGCTGATTCGCGTGACGGGCGCCGAGCGCGCGCACACGTCCACCTGCAATACAACACGTGTCAGCTCTGCTTCGCCTCGCCTCGGC